GGGCCCTGCTAAATACAATTTCTAAAAATATAAAACGTCTAATAGTATAAAATAGTTATAAAAATAGAGTAAAAAAAAAACTAACGTCTAGTAGTTGAAATAGTTATATAAAAAGAGTTTAAAAAATCAAGACTTCGGCAAAGTTTTTCTCAAAACCGCCGGACCTCCAGCCGGCAAATAACGCATTACAAAGTATATTCGACCTCCACCTACACTTCTAGTGCAATGGCAGTCTGGCATACATGGCTGAAAAGTCCGTTCTATAATTTAAAGCCAAGGTTTGTGTTGCTTTGAACAAGGCACTAAAAGCCTAGTAATTTAAATTTTTTTCAATTTTTTTCATAAAGATTTGGGTTACTTTGAAGCAACGCGTTAAAAGCCTAATAATTACATTTAATTTTTGTTCTTAAATCTTTTATAGAAACTATTACAAGGGCGGGGCCACCCTACTTTAGTAATTATGTTGCTCGCAAAATACTCTTAACATTGGACAAAACCTCTTGATTAGTTAAAATTATGAAAACTATGACATACACAAAAGATCGAACAAAAATAAAATTGATTGCACGAACTGAAAGTAATTACATGCAGGTCAAAACGTGATCCCAGGAAATCAGTAATCCTTATTTGTTCGGCTAAGAGTGGTCTTCAGGCGACTGTTGTGAAACTGACAATAAAGCAATCACAACAGCTAATCAGAACAAAAGTTAACAACACAATGAACCAATCAGAACACAAAGCAAGTAAATGAAACGGCTACAAAGCACGGGAAAAACGCACGTGATCAACTCGTGATTGGTTATGGTTTTGCATCTGATTGGATTAGATCGTGACACGGGTCTTTACAACCAGCAGGCAAAACCAAAGCAATTCTGAATTACTTAAAACTATTTAAAACCGATATAGGTAACCGAGACCTCGGGCGCTTTCCATTCAACTAAATTTGTACGGAAGTTTACTTGGAAGAACCGACATGGTTAAATTTCTGAAATACGAACCATTCAACTGAAAATTCCGGAATTTTCTGGGAAGAAAAATCAAATGGAATACGAGTTCCGGTAAGAAATTTTTCGGAAATTTTCGCCATTAGAAATTTCGGAAATTCAAACCGAAATTTTTCGCCGCATGGAAAGCGCCCCTGGTCAGAAAATGAAGTTGTACGACCTTGCCCTTGACGTTAATGAAAAATACGTTCATTTCATCTAGGCAGTCTCCACTTGTGTTTTCTTTCCATAAGTCAGTTCGGCGCCTCCACTCAACAGCATGTCAATACCGGTTGTGAACGTGGCTTCAGCAGCCAGGAATAAACAAGCTTGACCGGATTCTTCAAGCGTTCCCATACGGCCAAGCAGCTGTGAGAAAAAAACGCAGTACTGTAATGAGACTCTTGCAGTTGGATAACTTTCGAAAAAGATTTTTCATGTGAATATCACAGAGGAGAATTGTTTCACTGTTAAGAGGCTTGTGCTTTTTCGTTAGTCGTGATCTCACACAAGGAGCTCAAGCACATGCATTTTTAACAGAGGGACACAACCCGGAAGTTAAATTTTCTCTTCTTTGGCGCGATTTGTATACTTTTCGGTAATAAAAAGCAAGTTGTAAACGCTGGCGGGGGCTGACAACGCGTCGAAATTCTGGTTGGCGTCCATGGATCAAAAACGTCAGCACCACTGGCCCACGCAGCCGGAGCTTATCCCGATTTCTGTAGCGTGAGGAGACTAGGAGTATTTCTGCTCCCCCTGGATTGGTTGCAGGTCCGTCGCAGTGTTACCCCCAGCATTAAATTCACCGGTACCCATTTATACACCTAAGTGGAGAGAGGCACCGGGAGAGTCAAGTGTCTTGCCCAAAAACACAACGCAATGATCCCGGTGAGTGCTCGAACCCAGACCGCTCAATCCGGAGTCCATCGCGCTAACCATTACGCCACCGACTCCGTCTGTGATTTAGAACTCTATTATTTTTGCGTGAAACGTGAAACGTCGTCTGCGGAGAAGCTGTGCGCTGCAATTTAACATTAGGAAGCAAGCCTGCTAAGAAGTTTTTAAAGTCGTGAACAGCAACTAGGAACTAATGCGCTTTCGCTGCCATTGGCTGGAACGTTCTCGATCTCGTTAACAACGCCCGGAAAACATCTGACTTTCGGTTTCCGCCTGTGACTCTGTGTGCTTATGCTCCTAATAATAAGTTTTCCATGAAACGGGAATCTCGTTTCCAGTTTGATTTGGGATTCATAGATAAAAACATGTTGTTTATCTTGTTTTGCATTGTTATCGTCTTTTGAATGTGATGTTGAACCTTCCATTTTAGCGCCATCCTTTGTTCATCACTAACGACTTAATTAATACCCTGTATGAAATTGCCCCTCGTTCTGATTGTTTTGTTTTGTTGTTTTGTTAGCTTACTTGTGTGTTTGTTTGCTTATTTGCTTGTTCATAGCTTTACCTTAAAAGTAAGTTTTCGGGTCAAAGTAAGGCTTGTAGTCTAGATGTACAGAAAACAGTGGAAGCCTTTTGCAGCACTTGCAAATATCATGTCACTTACCTGTGCTTCTTCACCATCTTTCTTACTTTTCTCAAAGTTACCTGAGGCCTGAGCCAATTGATCCCACAATGGAGTCCAAATGTTACCTGGTGAAACACTGGTAAGGTGGAGAAGACGTCAAAACTCATAAAAATAGGCCCGCAATGCGCACATACTAAAAAAATACTTAGAAACGCTTTAACATCTGACATTTATATTTCATTTCTACAGACAGACACCTCTTGTGCTCGAGAATCTCCCAGAAGGGGACACTTAGTCTCGTTCCCAGCCACAAAAGAACATTGAATTTTTAACCTCCCACATTCCTTATAAATAGGAAATTAACGCTCATGTTAATTAAAGTATACGAAAATCCGACTTAAATAAACGAAAATAGAGGGAAATTAACGCGACTTTACACAAACGAGAACAGTTTTTTTACGCGATTTTTTAAATTGCATGTTGTGAAATAACTAAGCTACTACGCGCGCTCTCATTGGTCGATCGATGTGTTAAGATGAGAGTATATGTAAACACGGTTGTGACGTTTTAGACCCATGCGTAATTTTGAGAATTATTTTATAAAAGCAATAGAGCGCTTTTTCCATGTTTACATAGCCTCATCTAAACACTCGGCGATTGGGAGAATTCTCGAAAGTTGTGCAAACTCTCGGCTACGTCTCAGGTTTGCATAACTGCCTCAAAATCTCCCAGTCCTCATTGAATGAGTATAGATGACGCCATGTAAACACGGAAAAAGTGCTCTATTGCTTAACTGTACAAGAACTGATTGATATCCTTAATGGTACAGTGAAACAAACTGCACGTTAACATGCTGCACATAGTTGGTACAAGAACAGAAAGAAGCGCCCATCTCTCAATACCTGTTTACTCGCACTCCATATTTTGCCTCATCAACTGCCAAAGCCCTTGTCATAGAAGTTATTCCGCCCTACAAACAGAGTGACATTTAAAATAAGTTTGAACATTAATCAAATGATTTACCAAATGCAAATGGAAGTAAAAATCAAGGTTTACCTTGGTTGCCACATATGCAACAGCTCCTGGCTGACCTATTTGTGCCACTAAACTTGACATGTTGATGATATTTCCCTTCGTTTTCCGAATGTGTGGCAAAGCAAGCTACGATAATATGAAAACAAAGGTCAGTAAAACTTACAAAAATAATGATAATAATAATACTAATAATAATATATAATTAATAACAACAATAATAATAATAATAATAATAAATTTATGTATGGCATTTACATGAAGAGCAATATATACCATTGCGCAGTCCCAGAAAACATCTGTACTCGGTACTCCCCTCATAGGGGGACTGGAATTTCCTGTGGGGGTGGGAGGTTCTGATAGACCAAAAACTTTAAAGAAATGTATGAAGCTTAATCGGAATTTCTAGAGGGGAAATATCCCTTCCATAGGGGAGGTATGGATATTCTCTGGAATTAAACATTGCAAAGAAATGACTTTAGAAGAAGAAGGAGCACTACATAGACTTATTATCCAACTGCAGCGAATTCCATCCAATAACAGTACAAATATACAGCGATATTGTACAGTTATTTGTGCAGTGGAAAATGTTGTTTGCATTTTGACTTGCCCTACAGGCTCGTCAAAATACGGCACAACTTGTAAAAATATACAGCAATACTATACACCAAAACATCTAATACAGGTACATTTCTTCTATTGTTACTTTAGGCATTTTGTTTTTGAACTGTTTCAGCCTGAACATAAAGCCAGGGTTCCAGTGCAGTGGTTCATCCAACCAGCATATGTTCGGCATGTCTCCAGTTTTTGTAGCATGCAGCAACAAGAAGTATATCTACACCCAACTGCATGGGATACTAGACAGTAAAATGTAAAGGCAGGATAAAGCTGTTAAAATAAGAAATTTACAACTACATTACGTCAGCTTTACACAGTCAGTAAATTTATGTTTTCATGCTATGAGATCTGGAAGCATCTTAATATTTGGTGCTCTTACTTTGCAAAATATAAAATAGTTGACGAGGTTCAGATCCAGCAAGCTTCTAAATTCATCAACTGATGTGTTGTCCACTGTTTTCTCAGGGGGATCTGCCAGAACAAATAAAACCTGTGGGATTAAATTTGTGTTCCTCTTGATTTCTATTAACACTTCATTGACACATTTGTTTCAAAAGAAATTGTTTCATATCTTTATTGGCTATCGATGACATTTTTTAACTGAATTATCAAGGGCATCCAGTAGATTGGTTTGATGGAATATATAATATGTGTTAAAGGCTTAAAGATTTTAGACATTAAAGTGATCTGTAAAGAAGTTCCTGAAAGACATTTTAGCCTTGCGAGCAAGTATTGCAAATAGACTTTTTCAAGGACATTATACAATGATTCCAATTTTTTAAGGACTTCATGCACTTTTTCATAACTGTGAAACTGAACTACTTTATTATTGATAAAAACATATCATATAAAATGCCTCCTGCAATTCCCTTGGGAAACAGTACCCGGGGAGGGGGAAGACTCCTATATGAAAAAAACGGGGATGCCCTTTGTGCCCTTTAGGGATTAAAAAAGTGGTTTTGGTACCTCTAAGGGTGTTTAGCCTCAAACGGTCCACAGTGGGGGCTTTTGCAGTACCTTTTAGGATATTGAGCCAAAAAAATGTGACAAGAGATATTTGACAACTGATTTTTAATTTTGCGTTATTTACACCAGAAATTCACAACTCATCAATAAAAGAATGCACATTCATTGGACAGTATATTTTCAGGGGTGAAAAAATTTTAAAGCCACGCCAAAAACAGGACCTTGCTAAATACCTCTTAAGGGATTCCAAAAAGTTCTGACGAGCACCCCTATTCATTTTATATGGGGGTCCCACCAGGGACAATACAGTACCTTGAGCACTGGATTTGGAAGTAGATTGTGCAAATCTGTGGTTGCATAATGAATTATCAACAGAAAGAAAGTTGCAGGATTAAAGTTAATTATGGCAAACAGTGGAAAACAGGCTGGACCCAAGGGGAACAGTGAGTTTTGTTTCTTCTACACCAAAATATTTTAATCCACTCCCCTATCAGTCAATAAACAATGAAGTTAACACATTGCCAAAAAACACAATGTTTCCATTGAATCCAGTCATTGAGTGATCAGTGATCAACTTACGCCATCCAGCATTGTTTACCAGGCAGTCAATACGGCCATACTTTTCTACCGTCCTGTCCACTAAATTCTTAAGAAATATAAAATACGATACATCTTTAATGATGCTCTACATATATATGTATATTTGAATCATACAACTAAAAAGTTATTTTTACCAATGGCAATCTTTTTTTTTCATTATCATAGGAAATTAGTCTTTTAATGCAAATAAGATCAAAAGGTCTTATTTTAAGCTTTTTTGGAACATGTACATGTATGCACTGTCTAATAATGCTAAGCAATCCACCACTGAACAGTTATTTTTTAACTTGACAGCTGCCGTTACTTAAAAGTTTTAATTTCATGGCCTTGGTTGGGTATAATTAAAAATAAATCTTCAGTCTACTGTAATCATGTATCGAGATTAGAATGGGACCATGTTATAACCAACAACTCTGAGTTCAATTTGAAAATGTTCACTTGATGATTCACTTTAAATTTATTAGTTTACATGTACTTGGTGAATGAATAGTTTTAAACAAGGGCACATGTTATTTAGGCAAGGATAACCTCAAGACAATGCTGGCCAGTAGTCATCTCAGTTTAGTATGGCTCAAAGGCAACTTAGGGCTTGACCAACCTTCAACTAAATTAAGTTACAAGCTCCCAAGCTCATCTACTCAAGTACTGGTGATGTGTTTAATTACCTTTATATCTTCTTCTATAGTGACATCACATTTTATGTAGTATGCTTCCCCAGGTCCTTTATCATTCAATTCTTTTTCAAGCTTTTTTCCGTCGTCAGCTATTATAATTATTATATTACAAAATAATCAACAATTAGAATTGTGTTCTGGAAAACACTAACTAACGTCAAGGTTCATTGGTTAGATCTAATTATTCTACCAAGATTCAAGACAAAGTTCAAGTGCATATGATCCCAAAAGTTGCTAGTCAGCAAAATGTCTAGTAGATAATAAATAATCATTGTCCCTAAGCCTTTAATGACAACTTCAAGCTAAACATGCAGGGTCACAATACACTTTATACTTTAGCCATTACTCTCTCTATTAAACAAGTGGCTCACCAGCAAACAAAATCATTTCTTGCACCCTCAATTACTCCTAAGCAATGCTTTCAATTCTATTTGAACTTCTACCTTTTAGTTACTCAGATCAAAGAAAATGAATTCTATTATAAAGGATTTTCAATGACAAAATATGACATTACATCTAAATCATGTTCAAAATGGATATATATATTTTTACATATGAAAAACACAGTAATTTTTAATTGTTTATTAAATGCTTTTTAATCTCTGCTTCCAAACAGCCTCATAGGGATTTACTGATAATATAACACACAAGTGAGTAATATTATATAATCTTGAACATTTTTCACTTTATTGTCAGTGATAATTTTGGTGGTAGGAAACTCAGTGCTTGAAAATATACCAGGGGTTTCATACCCAGCCAGTCATGGGTTGCTGAAAAGTTACTTTGCTTGGGAGCTAAAATTGAACAACTTACTTACAGCTTCTACAAAAAAAAAATTGTTTTAAATTTAAAATTATTCTTTATCTACCATACTCACCCCCTCTTGAACAAAAAACAACTTTGGAACCAGCTTTAACTAGAAAAAAGTAAAAAGGATATTTTATTTAAAGAAGTGATATAAATAAACTCAATAAGAAATTACTAACACTGGAATATTCCAGTTCAATGATCATGTTTAGACATATATAAGCACTCATGGTATGACTAAATTTGTGCAAACTTAAAGAAATTATTAAGGAGGGGAAATGCCAGAATAAACATCTCACTTAAAGGTGACACTTCAAGGCAAGGTGTGTAACCTAGCCATCAGAAAAAGTACAGGCCAGCAAGCATCCTGAGGATTGTTAAATACATACAAAGTTATAATTACATATAATTATTATTAAATCTGAACAGTAGCCATGCTAGCAATAGCACTTNGTTTGACATTCTCACGCCCTAATTTGTACTTATATATGTATATTTCATTCGCTTTTTCTTCAACTTGAAAATGATCTCAGAGAGATCAAAACGTCGTTTTTTACCGCTAGTTTTTACTAATGAATGTTAATGATTTTATCATTGTGAATGTTGTCTGCATCTCTTTTTAAATTCACTGTTCCAGAAAAACCCTATATAGGGGAGGTTCAGCCAAAATATTTTTCCTATAAAAGTAATTTCCCACTTCACCCGTCCATTGCACTGTACTAATAATAATGAACTCGACACAATGGTACAGATAAGTAATTGATGTGAAAATTCCACAAGCAGAAGAAGGGTGGAAGAGCATCCCGTGACCGAATGAAGAAGTCACATGATTAAGTTCAATGGAGTAGTCTAGTTAATAAGGCTTCCTTTTTTTCGGCATTGTACTAAGAGAGACTTTTACACTACACTACAGTACAATACTATTGAGGCGAGAAGACTTGTAACTGTTTTAACCTACATTTGAGGACGTTTTGTTCGTGACATTCTTACCAAATTCCCTGACTACTCCTTCACCAATTCCTTTGGATCCTCCGGTCACGATGGTCACTTTTCCAGCGTATCTCAGATTCAATTTCTCTGCGTCCGTTGCCATATTTCCAACTGCCGTTCCAGAAAAGCTGCCGAAATATATTAATTACAATGTCTTTGCTTTGAATATTGTTATTAAACAGCCTAGCTCGGGAACACAGTGGAAAAGACCGGAAGCAAAAGTTGTAAAACAAGGCGATGATCTGAACGGCCTGGGGAGAGGATGGGGATTTTCTCACAGGGTATTCTGGGATATTGCCCCTTGATGGGTAACCGCTGACTGCTTGTTTAGTTCACTTTAAAACTTTTCTTCCTTTTGATCGTCGATGATGGCGATTTTCAATCGCATAATTTCTTCTCTTCTTCTTCTGATCTTCTTCAGTTCGTCAGCTTATGGCTTTATCGAGGGCCTTTATTGTGGGACGGAAAACTGTTATGACGGTAAAGTCCTGCATTTTTCTTTTCTGTTCTTCTGAAATAAGAAACTTTACAATATTAATTTGGATAGTTTCCTTGATCTGGTACACGCTGATCAAGGTTAACTTACTATTTCTGGGTTAGTAATAGTCATTAAATGTCATTAACTATGTTTGATTTCTAGTACTCGGAGTTTACAGAGAATCTTCAAAGGTAAGATATAGCAGAGGTTGTTAACGTAAAATTATCCGTGACACACGACTTTAATATACGGGTTTGTGTGAAATCAAATAAAAGCTTACATCGCGAGTTTCCAGGTTGCCTTGTTTGATGATGTGGAATGTAAATAAACGAAAGATATTTCACTTGCCTCTTTGATAACAATGCTCCATTATAGTAGATGCATTAGTTTAGGCAATGTCGCATAGTAATTTTGGCGAAATTTTCTTGTGCTGAATCCAGGTGTAACGTAATATCTGTGTATATTTCGTCCTCTTGATATCAGCTTGTCGTTACGAAAAATTTTTCTTCCCGTATTTTTGCATCAGGAGCTTAGAGAGAGATAATAGTCTTAATATTAAATACTTATGTGTGTGAAAAAACACTTGACAGGCAGATGAAACTGTTGCAAGTGTCACTTTTAATATCCATCAGTTGACCTATTTCAGTTTCATTAAGGCTGTGAACAAAGGCATAAATAAATTATGAGGGATTTTTGAAAAACGTCTTATTTCTGTTTTATAATATAATAAGCAGGTGTGGCTTACTTTGCATATTGAAAGTTGTATATGAGTCAGTTTGAAACCTTACCATCCCTTCCTTCATCCACCCCCCATCCCACCCACTGTGTTTTGGGGCATCTTAGACAGCAGATAAAGTTAACTGGAGGCCTTTAAATTTGGCTGTCAACTCTAGCAACTTGTCCCAAGGGCACTGGAAAGTCTATTTTCTTTGGATCCTAACAGTAGATAAATTTGTTAGATCTCCAGTCATGTTGCAAATAATGGTATTTTTTTGGTCTACCAAGAAGCAGTATTGTCAGATCAGCATAAGTTTTCCCAACAGTATATAGGTGCTCTTGCAGCATTGTCAGTAAGGTTTCCAGGTTTAGGCCGTACATGTAGGACGGTTATGAAAGTCAGTGATGATGAAGTAAAGGGCATCTGTATGACCTAAATAACTTAGTAGAACAGAGGGGTAAAAGCTGCTTAATCTTATTGACAGAAGATAAATTTTTATTTATTGAAAATATTCATCCTAATCAATTTTCTTGTGCCTTTATTTTCAGGCGGAAATAGCGAAAGCTTATAGAAAACTAGCCCGCAAGTACCATCCTGATCGATACAAGGTATGTGTAAAAACTTGATCAATCTGAATATGGGTGTTACATAATAAAATTTTATGTATATATAAGTCAGAAACTTGGTGAGATTTGATTTTGTCTCAATATATAAACCTCAACTTCTTTGAGATTGTTACAATTATTGTAAGTTCATTTTTTTACACTTACAAGTGAAGATTTTCAACTGAGTTTCCTATTAAAAGTCACCCAAGAGATGGTACTTTTTTTCTAAGCAGCACAGAGACTTTAGCCCCCCCCCCCTTCCCCCTATCCCCCCCTTTCCTCTCAGCCGAAAAAAGATGACCTACCTTTATTATCAAAGTACAAAATTGCGATTTTTTTTTTTCAATTAATACCATTTTTTCTGTTTTTGAGAGCTTTGGAACCATTCAACAATAAGCAAAAACAATACTGTAAATAAATATATCTTTAATATTGACTCACACTGACATAAAATATATGTCAAGAAGTATTAAACACATTTTACAAGTTGATTAAACATACTGGGACGTTTTTGATATAAATTTCCCCTCCCTGCAAAACCTCCTCCTCCAAAACCTCCTTCTTGTTTAACCTCCTTCCCATCAATTTAATGCTGGGGTAACCCTGCAGTGGACTAGCATCCCATCCAGGGGGGAGTAGAAATACTCCTAGTCACTTCATGCTACTGATTTACTGGGATAAGCTCCAGCCTGATGAGCCACTTGGCTCGTATGCAGACTTTACCTTTTTTACCTCATCAAATGTCCTTGAAATAAACAAGTCCTCCTAGAGGGGCTTATGGGATGGGATTTGTGGCACACTTAAATAACAAATCATTTTCCATTTTTTTTTAACTTCAACTAGGGTGAAGATGCTGAACAAAAGTTTCAACTCATTGCAACAGCTTATGAGGTGAGAGATTTTTAATAGAATCATGCAAAATCAATGAATGCCAAAATTAATAGTGGTTTGTATTGCACACGTGCATATGTTGCATGGTTCAATTTTCCCTTGGTACAAGGAGGTATTGGTGGTATATGGCAATATATTTTATGACGTAGATAGCTCATTGAGGAAAATACCAAATTGTACTAAGGATATTTATTGAACCAAGACATACATGTAAACATATCAAGCCAAACTCCAAATGAAATACATGATCCGACTGTAGACAATGCAAATGCTGGTCATAATAATCACGTACCAATGAAATAATTTCAGGTTTTAAAAGATGATGAACAAAGAGCTGATTATGACTACATGTTGGACCATCCAGGTAAGGCTTTTTTGTGTAAAGTGAATCACTGCTGACAGTAACTATTCCTGATGGCATCTTTTAACTAGATCTCAATTAGAATCAAAATAAATGACTGATATAAGTAGATGTTAACTGGTTAATGGAGGCATGGAGGCATGGTTCACTAATGGTTAGTGGACTGGACTCCAGAAAGAGTGGTCTGGTGAATTATATGTAATGCTGGGTGTAACCTCACGATGGCCCAGCATCCCATCCATTAGGGAGTAGAAATACTCCTGGCTCCTTAGTACTGCAGAAACTGGAATAAGCTCCTGGGGAACGGGCCACTTGGCCGACGTACTCTATAAAAAATAAAAAATTGTTGAATGATGTATTTTCATTGCTTGTAATTCAACAGAGGAGACATATGGCCATTACTATCGTTACTATAGACGGCAAGTCGCTCCTAAGGTGGATGTGCGAGTGGTCATAGCGGTGTCAATTACAGTTGTTTCCTTGCTACAGGTACTGTAACTGTTGATAAAAAACAAACTCTTTTGAGTATTAGATATTATGGCACTCTGGTGCAATCAGACTGTTACTCAGGTCTTTGATTTCAATGTCACAGTACACATGTATAATTTTGGTTTGCACTGTTGAACATTTACCTTGACTGTAGCTTGCAAACTTTAATGTGACAACTGATACAAGATCTTGTAGTGGATCTAAAATACATGAAATGCCATTTGAATGGAAGGGTTTGATCTTGGTTAGAACAGTACTTAAAATGCTGACTTGCTTGTCAGTGTATCACTCGACTTATAGATCTGAAAGGAATTGGTTCCCTGCACACAGATATGCCAATACACAAAACATTATAGCCCTAGTTTTTACAGGTGCATACAGTACACAGTAAATGAGCATTTAGGCCTCCTGGAATAAGTTGTAAGTATATGTTTGAATATACATGTAATATTATTCTGAATGGATTTGGCACCTTTTGACTTTCTACCTGCTACTGGGATAACAGCAAGACAAAGTGTTGAAATCCCACACTAGATGGAGAGAGATATCACATACATGTGTGTATTGTGGCACCATTGTTCTTTGTGATTTATAAAAAAAAAATATGCTTGAATGCTACCGTTGTTGAGAGGGATTGAACCTCATTAACGTGGCATCATTTATACAATGGGAACTCTGTTTGACTTCATGTTAATTTAAGTGGATCTCCTGTGTGTAATTTGAAATTTTTTAACAGCATCACTCTAAATTAATAATAAATGTTTATTATTAGTATCTTCATGGCTGGTCTCGATACAATGAAGCTGTGAAGTATGCCTTGACAATGCCAAAATACCGAAACAAGGTAGGCTTTGCAACCAAATTATAATGATCTTAAGATGTCTTGTGGCATGCTAATACATGTATCTCCTCTGGGTGTATGTGCACTACTTGTGCATTATTGTACAGTAGTAACCAGGGATGACTTACATGTACTCTCTCCCCACCCCCACCCCCACCCCCCGCTATTGCACACTCTTGCTACAATGGATAACAAATGACAGTCTCGAGCTAGTCTGTTATATCAGGAGTTGACTCTATATAACATAATTTATTTAATTATTATCTAAGGTAACATACACACTGGAATTTATTGTTGATCAATTTTAATGGTCACAGTTTTGATTATGTTTCCTTAACAAGGCCATGCAACGTGCAAGAGAGGAAGGTCTCTTGAATAACTTAAAGAAAGGCAAGAAATCCAAGGTAGATTTAAAATATGTTCACATCAGTCACTAACACATGCTGAAAGGGTTACAAAAACTTATTAATCATTTTTTGTTAAAACAGACGACAGCAGTAAGACATTTCTGAAGTACAGTTATTACCACTCAAATGTCGGATGTATGTTTAATTTGCTCATACATGAAATGCACATCTAACAGCAAGATTAAGATTGTTGAAGAGAGTACCGGTAAATTGTAATTAGCTTTTGGCCATTTTCGCAAGGTCACACAACTTGGATAGAGTTTTAAAAAGTCTACCCAACCTTGTTCCTCTGAGATCGAAACCTTGCACATTTGCATAACTCATGATAACTGATATAAGAAAAACTTTTGTGTGTATTAAGTGATTTTTAAGGAACCTACATGCAGACCATCCATTCCTTTTTTAAAGGTTCCCATTAATAAATGCATGTCTTTTTTTTTTGACTTGTCATAGTTACAGTGTATGTTCAAGGTAGTGGACACCCCTTTAAATAGATGCTCAGACTGCATCATTCAGTCATGTTCATTTGGTGAATATTTTGTCTTGTAGAGATTGAACAGTCTGTTTAATTCTTCTGGTAATTGGGTGGCAATTCCATTAGTCAGTCAGGCAGTTTGTCTGTCAGTCGGTCAGTTGGTCGGTAGGTTGGTCGGTCGGTCNGCTTGTAATTCAACAGAGGAGACATATGGCCATTACTATCGTTACTATAGACGGCAAGTCGCTCCTAAGGTGGATGTGCGAGTGGTCATAGCGGTGTCAATTACAGTTGTTTCCTTGCTACAGGTACTGTAACTGTTGATAAAAAACAAACTCTTTTGAGTATTAGATATTATGGCACTCTGGTGCAATCAGACTGTTACTCAGGTCTTTGATTTCAATGTCACAGTACACATGTATAATTTTGGTTTGCACTGTTGAACATTTACCTTGACTGTAGCTTGCAAACTTTAATGTGACAACTGATACAAGATCTTGTAGTGGATCTAAAATACATGAAATGCCATTTGAATGGAAGGGTTTGATCTTGGTTAGAACAGTACTTAAAATGCTGACTTGCTTGTCAGTGTATCACTCGACTTATAGATCTGAAAGGAATTGGTTCCCTGCACACAGATATGCCAATACACAAAACATTATAGCCCTAGTTTTTACAGGTGCATACAGTACACAGTAAATGAGCATTTAGGCCTCCTGGAATAAGTTGTAAGTATATGTTTGAATATACATGTAATATTATTCTGAATGGATTTGGCACCTTTTGACTTTCTACCTGCTACTGGGATAACAGCAAGACAAAGTGTTGAAATCCCACACTAGATGGAGAGAGATATCACATACATGTGTGTATTGTGGCACCATTGTTCTTTGTGATTTATAAAAAAAAAATATGCTTGAATGCTACCGTTGTTGAGAGGGATTGAACCTCATTAACGTGGCATCATTTATACAATGGGAACTCTGTTTGACTTCATGTTAATTTAAGTGGATCTCCTGTGTGTAATTTGAAATTTTTTAACAGCATCACTCTAAATTAATAATAAATGTTTATTATTAGTATCTTCATGGCTGGTCTCGATACAATGAAGCTGTGAAGTATGCCTTGACAATGCCAAAATACCGAAACAAGGTAGGCTTTGCAACCAAATTATAATGATCTTAAGATGTCTTGTGGCATGCTAATACATGTATCTCCTCTGGGTGTATGTGCACTACTTGTGCATTATTGTACAGTAGTAACCAGGGATGACTTACATGTACTCTCTCCCCACCCCCACCCCCACCCCCCGCTATTGCACACTCTTGCTACAATGGATAACAAATGACAGTCTCGAGCTAGTCTGTTATATCAGGAGTTGACTCTATATAACATAATTTATATAATTATTATCTAAGGTAACATACACACTGGAATTTACTGTTGATCAATTTTAATGGTCACAGTTTTGATTATGTTTCCTTAACAAGGCCATGCAACGTGCAAGAGAGGAAGGTCTCTTGAATAACTTAAAGAAAGGCAAGAAATCCAAGGTAGATTTAAAATATGTTCACATCAGTCACTAACACATGCTGAAAGGGTTACAAAAACTTATTAATCATTTTTTGTTAAAACAGACGACAGCAGTAAGACATTTCTGAAGTACAGTTATTACCACTCAAATGTCGGATGTATGTTTAATTTGCTCATACATGAAATGCACATCTAACAGCAAGATTAAGATTGTTGAAGAGAGTACCGGTAAATTGTAATTAGCTTTTGGCCATTTTCGCAAGGTCACACAACTTGGATAGAGTTTTAAAAAGTCTACCCAACCTTGTTCCTCTGAGATCGAAACCTTGCACATTTGCATAACTCATGATAACTGATATAAGAAAAACTTTTGTGTGTATTAAGTGATTTTTAAGGAACCTACATGCAGACCATCCATTCCTTTTTTAAAGGTTCCCATTAATAAATGCATGTCTTTTTTTTTTGACTTGTCATAGTTACAGTGTATGTTCAAGGTAGTGGACACCCCTTTAAATAGATGCTCAGACTGCATCATTCAGTCATGTTCATTTGGTGAATATTTTGTCTTGTAGAGATTGAACAGTCTGTTTAATTCTTCTGGTAATTGGGTGGCAATTCCATTAGTCAGTCAGGCAGTTTGTCTGTCAGTCGGTCAGTTGGTCGGTAGGTTGGTCGGTCGGTCGGTCGGTTGGTCTGTCAGTCAGTCAGTCAGTCAGTCAGTTTGGTCAGTTTGGTCAGTAAATTAGTAACACAGTCAGTTGATCTAACTTGCAATTTGTCAGAGCACAACACTTCAATTTCAATGTACTGTTTAATTATTGTGTTTTTTTTTGTTTTTGTTTTTTTTTTTGACAGGAAGAACTAAGGGAGGAAGAGGAATCTATACTCAGAGAAGTTGTGGAAAATTCTTTGGATATCAGGTTGGTTTTATGTTATGACTTCCTCATCAAATAAATAATAGTATCTAACTCTCTGCACGCATTGCAGGCCTATGATGATAGAGACCATTTCATCAAAAACATTTAACAGTAACAACTCTCAACTTGGTTTAAAGTGTTCTGTTTATGGCATGCATGGATTCAATGTTGATTTGTTGTCCTATGTCTAAAATTCGTGTCGAGTGTAATCTTGTTTTTGCTGTGTTTAGGGGAGGTTACAGCAAGCCAAGAATAGTTGATGTCCTTTGGCTAAGGATTGTCCTTCTGTAAGTTCCGAGAATGTTTTAACATTTTCTGGGAAATTTGTAAAATTTCCCACAGGCAACTGGATAAGAAATTCTCAAACTCATTAATAATTCATCAAGTTAAAACAAATGAAATCTTGACTGTGACAGAGGTTTGTATACCCGGTCTTAATTGCCATAGATTCTGCCAATTTTACTTCTGCGTTTACTCCTAAGTTTTTGTTTCCATTAAGAAGATATATCAAACACTAGAGACAGTGTTTGATCAGCTGTCCAAACACCTCAAATTTCGTCAAAAATAGTCCGCTCCGTGTCGTATTTTCATTTCTCTTACCGGTGTTTGGATATCCCGATGAAACACTGTCTCTCCTGTTTGATATATTATGTATTAGATTTTGGGAGTCCAGTGTGTTAGAAGTAGCTGGGATGGAATGGATGGGGGCTACACACACTTGAATGAACAACTGAAGCAGCTGCTAAAGTAAAACCTGAATTTTTTTCTTTAGGCTTTATTTTCACAGGGCTGTGCTTAAGTTGTGCACATAACTGCAAGGATCATTCATGTCTTTACATCTTGCTCTGCAGTTCAAGTATACAATGTATGATCTTCAACATGCGTGCCCATCATACACTGCTAGCAGTTGGTTTTTCCTATATCAAACAAGAGTGGGGAAAAACCAACTGTGTGCAGGGTATGCCAGTCAGGGATAAGGTGTTATCGGTTTTATTACAAGCAAATTATTGTTACCTGAAGCATGTTAATGGCCACTGGCATAAGAAAGTGCTTGCACTGACTGCACACTAACAAAATTACAAATTGGTTGCTATTAAATTATTTAATCCATCAACCAACTGATGTTATTCTTTCAGCCCTTATACGATTTTGTGTTACATTGGCTGGTTGTTACGTTGGCACTGGAAATTTACCATTAGAAGAGAGGAATATGGGGACGAGGAAAAAGGATACCTTATTAGGAAAAAGCTGGGATTGTCATCTATCCAATGGGATGCTATGGAACCTGCGCGCAAAGATGTTCTTTTCTCTCGCAGATTGTGGATTGATGCTAACTTTCAGGTAGGTTTCGTCTTTGATGAGGAACATATTCTGCAATGATAAAGCTGCTGAAGTTGACATTTTATTCTTTATAAAAGCAAAACACTAGTTTAAGAGTTCAAGGCCAGTTATTGTTTGATTTATGGTTGTGTGATCACACTCAAGTTTCTGATGTGGCTGTAAATTGTTGCTTATTTTTTTAAAAAAGCATCAGTAAAATCATGGTAGAAGCTTACCATCTACATACGGGTAATGATTGAGAAAAAGAAAAGTAACATTNAATTGTTGCTTATTTTTTTAAAAAAGCATCAGTAAAATCATGGTAGAAGCTTACCATCTACATACGGGTAATGATTGAGAAAAAGAAAAGTAACATTTACCTTGTTTCATCTAGTTATACATACAGAAGTGGGGACGTTTGTGAGAGATTTTTTGGAAACGTCAGCTGCAGGCGTTGATTTATACTAAAACAATAAAAATCATTTGCTCTTGATCTCTAGATGTGATAATTGACTCAGGCGGTAACCTGCCAACAGGCTCTAGTGTCTGGGTTTCCCACTCAAGCGCTGCTTTCTCGCTTTTCACTTTGGCGCTTGCGTACGTTTAAGAATGACATGGGGGATGGAGGGTGTGAGAGCCTGCTCTCAGACTCGCGGGCTGCACCCTCATGAAAATCTAATTACCAGGTGGAAGTACATGCGGCATTTGGAGTGCAGCTCCTTTGAGGGTATTTTCCAATGCAGAGTCATGTTCCATGAAACCTAGTAAAGTAATATCCCGTTAAAATCAAGAAGCTTGCTTTTCTCCTTGGCTTTGTTATTTGTATTTTAATGCAGGTTGAACTAATAAACTTGGACGAATTTACCACATCCATTTAATGGATGTAGACAGAGGTAGAATTATTGATTTGTTGCACACAGGTCAAAGTTTATGTCAGGGTATAATTTTCATAGCTTTGATAACTCACTGCTAAAAAGGTTCAACTGCTCAGTATATGTTGAGCCACATACTGTGGGTTCACTGAATAATGAAATGTGAATTAATGACGGTCACTTCTGTTGCTGTCTTTAGGAATTCAAACAAGAACAAGAAGACGAAATGAGAGTGAAACTTGCACAGAACAACAAGTACAAAGCCTACAGGTATTGCTTTTAGCTGTGTTAAGCACTACGTGTATACGAAGGTTGGCTCATTGAAAGAAGCGACTGTTTATTTTGCTTTTACGAAGTCATATAGTTTCGCAATCAAGACTCAGGTTAGCCTGTATAGCGGTCAGGGTGAATGGCCGTAGTAATCAATTGATAAAAATGTAGTTATTCTTTCTTTTTTTATCTTTTCTTTTTCTGTCAGACGCTACATGAAAAAAGGCGGACCAGGACAGATGACATTCATCGAGGACGATTAGTTATCATACTTAGTATAAGAATAGAACAGCAAGATAAATTTCTTTATTTAATGATAAGAGATCACGCCTGATATTTCATACCACTCTAGTAAATATTTGTCAGAGTGGTTTTTTGCCGGGTATTAACTGCTTGGCGTGGCTTGCCGGCTCATAACCTTGAAACATCGTCCAAAGAAAAGAGGAAATCGTATGCAACATTGAGCTGCATGTCAGCCTGTCATGGAAATCAAACATATTAAATATGTTTAATTATTTTGTAGGGTAACATACATCAAACCACTGGGTAAATATGGAATACGCTGTAGACAGGAGTTGACACTGTTGAAGAATTAGATAAATGACTCACATTTTGTAGATGGTACTAAGATGTTTTAGTTAACTTTTAAGCTTTCATCTAAAAAAGAGTTGGGCGATACGTCGTAGGCCCAGTTCAGACGCCGAAATTTTCATGGGCCGAACATAATACATTGAATTAAGTACATGAAAAATTCAGCGTCTGAATCAGCTAAGAAAGGCAATTTGAATTTGGAACGGTTCAGCCGTTCTTCCCGCCTAGCTCAGCCGGGAATTTCGGCCTTGGAACGGCTTTGATTCAGATATCGAACTTTTCATGTGCCGAATCTAATGCATACACCTTGCCTGAAAACCGCTGATCTTTCGATGTGTTTTGGTTCAAACTAAATTAAGTTCGGTGAATTAAGTGCGACGTCTGAATCAACACGCATACTTTTGATAATTTGGGTCGGTCCAAATTCGAATTAATTTCGGCTCATGAAAAGTTCGGCGTCTGAACTGGGCCTTAGTCAGTGACAGACATTTACGAGATAATTAAGCAATAGACTACAAGCTTTTTTGGTTTATAGGCTGATAAACCACGCGGGATGTTGGAGGAACACGAGAAGAATTGGTAAATCACGAGCC